CAGTTTTAAACTCAGCTACAAAGAGCTGCTTCAACTTTAGTAGCTTATTAAAAGATAACTTTTCACGTTAAGTTCTGTCACCAGGTATCAACCTAGTCTTGACCTTAAGAGAGCTTTATCCACAAGTGTGAAATCCCTACTGTTTCATGGTAATGGTTTTGAGTGTTTAACCCTTTTACATCTGTGTTTTCCTAGAAATTGGAATTCTAAAAAATGAAAATTTTAAATATTTTTTTCTGGTTAATTCTTAAAATGAAATGAACTTTTGCCAAGAGTAATATATGTTATAAGATCTTTAACTGTGAGCATCTTAAAGCCTTTTGAATATCTCTAGAATTTATTTGATGCTTTTGAAAGAATATTGCAGTTTTTGTCATGCTAACTGAGATAATGATAGCAACTTCTAAATTTTTGGAAATATGTTTGTATGACATTCAGTAAAATAGGAACGTTAAAACCTGAGACTATAAGGAGTAAAGATGTATATTTTCTTTTTCTTTTTGGGTCACACCCGGTGATGCACAGGGGTTACTCCTGGCTCATGCACTCAGGGGACCATATGGGATGCTGGGAATCGAACCTCTGTCAGCCGCGTGCAAGGCAAATGCCCTACCTGCTGTGCTATCGCTCCAGCCCCTAAAGATGTATGTTTTAAATAAGAAAGATAACAGATGGAAATATCAGTGGGAAAAAAAGAGAGGAATCCAATTGAAGTGAAACTGGTTTTGAAAACGGAATGAAGAAATTACAGGACAAAATGAATGTAAATGAATGTGCAGAAAGCTTGAAGTTGTTTTTTAAGGAAACTATTATCACACTGTATTGTTATAAGAAACTCTTTAACTAATATCCCCAGAATTGTTCTAGTACCTTTTTGGCAAGGTAAAAGATATTAATTAGATGGATGGTCTGGACTCCTGTTACAGTGCTCTTAAACAATTGGAAACCAAGGTTTGCAACACGGAATTAAATGAATTATACATGATGTTAAACTGCATGCTCTATCTCTACAGATCTTAATGCTTCTTTTGACTAGGGGCCAGAGCAAATGAGTATATTGCACCTCATTGTGAGTACAGTGAAATATTTGCTTTTCCTTCTTTGCACCTTCAGTACATTTTTGATGCTTTATGGCACTATGTTGGTTTGCATAAATCCAGATAAGAAGTGGCAACGGACTTTTACTTAGGTAGAAGCCCCATGTGGGGCAGGCTGGAGAAACCCTATAAAAACCACCTTGAATAAAGGAAGGGCGCATATATGCTGCCTGAGCCCACGCACTGCTTGTGTTCACGTAGCCAAGCACATGTGGTGCCCGAGCACATGTGTCACCCAGATCTCCCCTCCTGAAACGTGTAACAGGGCTCTCTCCACCTTTGGGGAAGTCCGCGTTCTCCTGTGAGCATGTCAGTCATTTTCTCTCCCTCCTTCCCCTTCCTAAAAGACTCCAACTAAAACGCTTTTACTTCATTGCTGTCTACTTCCTGAAATCCCTTTCTGCAAGAAAAGACATGAGCCCAGAAACCCTGCGTAAGGCCTACGACTGAGTTTCCATTCCTACAGAGCAATTCCTTGCTCCAGCCTGAGTTTGTGGCCCCCTGAAATATCTGGTAGTGGGGATCAAGTCCCATGCCAAAAAGGCCAAGCGGTAAAATATTGACAGTCACCTGGTGCGGCAGGTGGGGCTCTGGCTCATGCAGTTCAGGGACCCATTGCGGATTTTATCAGTCCTAGCCTTCCCAGCCGGTGCTGGGTTGGCAGAGGCAGATCAGGAGGAAGTGAGCATGTAAGGGACCCATGGGGGCCCACTAACTTCACCTTCTCTGTCATTGTCTCCCAGGACTAATACCCAAACTGGCCCCAAACAAATTAGGAACTGAAATCAGAAATCAAACGCCAGCAAGTTCTTCAGAACAGAGAGGGAAGTTGGAAAGAGGGAGAATGTCCGGATAAGGCAGGGCTAAGCCCACAGGGACTGTGCCGCAGGGCCAGCCCTTTTGAAATGTGCTTCCTAGTTCTTTGTTTATAAAAATGGCTTTTTGAGGCTGGAGAGATAATACAGCGGGCAGGGCGGGGCACTTGCCTTGCACACGGCTGACCTGGGTTTGATCCTCAGTATCCCATCGGAGTCCCTGAGTACCACCAGGAGTAATTCCTGAAAATTACAGAGCCAGGAGTGACCCTTGAGCATCAGCGCGTGTGAGACCCCAAAACAAAATAAATGGTTCCTTGGGAGACAGTGAGCTCAGGGCCTGCACCACAAAGAACCCCAGCATCGACCCCAGAGGACTGAGGTGAAGGGTCCCTTCAGCACCGTGTCCCTGGCAGCAGTGGATGGGATCTTGGGAGCCACAGTCCGGCCCAGACAGCACTCCAGCTGTCCTGTTCGTTCCTCCAGCTGCCCTCCGCCCCCACCATTGGCAGTACCCCCCCACTCACCTGAGTCCTTCTTTGAGAGCCATGCGGAAAAGCCCCCTCTGTTCACCACCCGGACCTGCTCCCAGTGGCTCAGAGCTCCTTAGCAGATGAGAAACCCACAGGAACCGGTGGGAGCGGCTGGCCCGGGGGACCTTGGGAGGCTGTCCCTGCCGGAGGGTGCCTGCCCGGAGGGAGGTGGGTCTGGGGTGGGGCTGCAGGCCCGGGCCAATCACCCGAAGAGGGTGGAGCGGAGGAAGCGGCTCAGTTGGCCAGCTGGCCGCTGAGCCACCTTGAACAGACTCCACTTCCATCTCAGGGGTGCTGGCACCCCCTCTTTGGTGGCGCCGGACCGGGATCAGGGGACAGACAATGTCACCAGGGAAGCTAATGCCCAGCCAGATCACCCCATCAAGTGTCCCTGCTGTAATCTCAGGGGCTTTATGCTGTAGTTGAATGGGGTGTGTTAGTCACTCGGGGGTGGTAAGGGTGTGGGGAGAACGCAGTTCTGCAAGTTTCTGCTGGGCGCTGACTCTCAAGGGGCAGCCTATCAGTCATCAGAGTTTTGTGGATTGTAACCATAAGAGAATACATAGTAGCACTGTCCTCCCGCTGTTCACCCATTCGCTCAAGCGGGCACCAGTAACATCTCCATTGTGAGACTTCTTGTTACTGTTTTTGGCGTATCAAATATGCCATAGGGAGCTTGCCAGTCTCTGCCATGCAGGCGGGATACTCTCGGTAGCTTGCTGGGCTCTCCGAGAGGGACGGAGGAATCGAACCTGAGTAGGCCGCATGCAAGGCACACACTCCACCCACTGTGCAATTCAAAACTGTATGAATGAGAGGAGAATGAATAGGATCAGAATGTATGGTAAGGGCCGGGGTTATTTCGTGAGCTTTGTTCATTATATGCAAATACATTATACGCCTTGTTTATGTGCGGGTAGGAAACATTTCTTAAATTTGGAGGACTTGATCTTCTACAAAGGCTGGAGGGGCTGGAGACACAGTAGAGTGAGGAGGGCGCTTATCTTGCACGCAGCCAAGCCGGTTAGATCCCGGGCATCCCATATGGTCCCCCAGCACTGCCAGGAGTAATTCCTGAGCACAGCCAGCTGCAAGGGGGCCGCCTGCCCCCCTAATTCTGTGCAGGAGCTACCCAATAAAGAGGCACCTTCAAACTGCAAAGATCGAGCCTCTTTGCCGAAAGTCAAGAAACAGCTCCGGTACTTACCCGTTAGATGCCGGAGTCACAAGTTAATTCTTTTCGGTCTAGCTCTGGTTTTTTCCTCTTCCTCCCACCACACTCTTAAACTCAGATGGGGCTTTGGCATGGTCTGGCTTTGCACGCAGGTGATTCGGACTCCACCCTCAGCACCGCCACCTGGTGTGGCCCAAAATCCAAAAGAAGAAAAACGTGCAGACTTGTCGAGGGAGTCCTGCAAGCCACCTGTTCTAGCACTCTGGGGCTCCCCGCAAGCCCCTTCCCTGGGCCCTTCCTGCTCCCTCCAGCAGGCTTGGGATACCAGACCTCCACTGGCTGCAACTAATTAGTTTCTCTGGTGAGTTACATTTTAACTAGTTTTCCTGAAAGGCATTACCAAGATATGGTATCAGCTTGGAAAATGGTCAGACTTTCTGTTCCTGACCCTACCCTTGGGAGTTTCAGCTTTGCCTCAAACACACCAGTGCCTGAGGCAAACATCTTGAGCCAGCTCCTCCTTCCTACACCTGCCCATGGCATGTCTGAGCTCTGCTCAGCCATCTTCGGCTCCTGCGGCCGGTGCTCGGATGGACTAGTGGCTGGAGGGCTCTATTCTGGACAGGACACAGGAGCCCAGCGACCTGCCTCTTCCCTTCCCCGTGGACGGATGCAGGGCCACATGCAGGGCGCAGGAGGTACTGTTCCCAGGCACACACGTGGCCGGGCCCCCGGCTGCACCTGGCCAGCCTAGCACCATGGAGGGGGTGCGCCCCACCCAGCCCCTCCAGCTCAGGGCCCCTCTTACATGCACCCTCTGTCTGGCAGCCTGAGTCCAGGGTACCTTACTCCCTTCACGCAAGGCTGGGAGTTGCTTTCTTGAAGACAGTGGATGTGGATTCCAGACTAGAAAAAAAAGTTGGGGGCCACACCCAGCGGTGCCTCAGGGCTTGCTCCCGGCTCTGCGCTCAGAAACCACTCCTGGCAGGGCTCGGGGCTGTAAGAGGTGGTGAGATCAAACCTGGGTGGAGGGCAAGTTATGTGCCCAACCCACCGACCCACTGTACTCTCTTCAGCCCCTTAGGCTTTGTCTCCTGCAGTGGCCCAGTGGTGGGGAACCGAACCGAGGGCCTTCAAGGAGCAAGGCAAGGGCCCTACCTACTTCCAGGCCACGTTGGTGGCCTAGTGACTTTCCTTCGCAGCACCCAAACCTGCTCTGTGTGCAGGGCTGAGCTGTGCCGTCCCGCGGGGGCAGGACACTGACGGGAGGTGTGGGGGTGCGTGGAGAGTTTGGAGGGCCCATTGGGCCGGCCGCCCCTCTCTCTGCCCTTCTTCCTCCGAGTGAAAAGCAGCCCCAAGAAACACAAGAAGAATAGATTTTACAGTTTTATTTTTAAAAAAACAAAAACGAAAGGTTAAAAAAGTCCTTCATTTCCAACCCTGCTTGGGGGGGAGGGGTACGAGTGGAGAGCAGGACAAGCTGAGAAAGGGAGAGCCCCGCTCCTGCCCCAGCACCCCGCGAAGGCCAGAGCAGGGCAGAGGCTGCTGCCCCTGCTGGCGGGCCCCAGGGGCAGGGGCGCTGCCTCCGGTCACTCCTGCTCTTCTCCCCTGGACGTTCTCTGGGACCCGCGCCAGGCCCCAGGGCGGGCAGCGGCCCATCAGCAGCAGGGCAGTCGGGGGCCTCCCACTGCAGGGAAGGGGCTTCGGAGACATGCTGAAGGCTGGGAAGGAAAGCCTCTCTGCTCTCGCCTCTGTGCTCTCACCGCCGCGTCTGTCTGTCCTTCCTCCTCCCCGCTCCCCTCCTGAGGCCGAGTGGAGTCCAGGACAAAGCACTAAGTGGCTGTTTGCTACAAAACACCTGGAGATGCCTAGCGGCCCTGGGCCTCGGCCTGAGCCAGGCCCCAGTCAGTCACACAGTCACACACAGCGTTAAGGCGTCTGGGCCAGCAGGCAGACCCCGCCGGGCCCAGCTTCTCTCTCTCCGTCAGTCTGTAGAGGGAAGGAGCGAGCCCCGCCTCCCAAACAGGCTAGAGCGGGAGAAGCTGGTGCCCAGGGGTGAGCCGGGCCTGGAGAGCGGAGCGGGAGGAAGGCAGGCGGGCAAGGGCTCCCAGGCCGCTTGCTAGGCCTGACGGCTGCCCTGGGAAGTGACCCAACTCAGGTTGGGGAGCCCTGACCATAAACCCCCTGGAAAGTGGGGGACAGAGAGGGAGAAGGGAGCGGGGCTAGAGTAGTGGGACTTTGGAGGAAGCCAGTGCTATCAGTATTTACAAGCGTCAAGCCCCATCTTCTGCACCACCTGCCTCTCCCTCCCGCGGGAAGGAAGGCCCCTGAGAGCCACTGGGGAGAGGCCTCCTCACCTCCTTGCCACCGGCCGCACCCCGGGGGGGAAGAGCCCCTTCCCTCCAGCTACCCTATCGGGCCCCCTCTGGGCCCCTCAGGAATGTCTGTCTGGCTCTGCAGGGGCACGAAGTGCCCCGGACCAGGCCCGCTCTGAGGCCCTAGGAGTCCTTGAGCATGTTGATGCGCGCGTAGATCTTCAGGGCGGGCCCCAGCTTGATGTTCATGGCGCTCATCAGATGGTCCTCCTTGAGCAGCAGCAGAGCCTGCCCGTCGATCTCCTGGGCCCGGAACTCCTCTGCGATCTCCTGGCAGCCTGGGAGGGACAGCACGGAGACGCGGTCAGTCGGTCAGAACCGCCCCTCACCTCCCTGTCACCGCCGGCTCCTGCTCGGCCCAGACCAGTCCAGACCTGCTCCCCAGGGAGCCGAGTGGAGCTGCCCTGGGCTGGAGACGCGTGTGACAGCACAGGACACCCAGGGCCCCCTCCAAGGGCACGGCAGCTGGCACCTTGCCTCTGGGACAAGAGCCGCCAGGTGGTGACAAGCAGACCCTGGAGAGGAACTGTCCGAGATGCCCGTCTGGAGAGGGAGGGAGGGAGGGAGAGAGAGAGAGAGAGAGAGAAAGAGAAAGAGACAGAGAGAGAGAGAGTGTGTGTGTGTTGTGTGTGTGTCCGAGATGCCCGTCTGGAGCGTGTGTGTGTGCTGTGTGTGTGCTGGGTGTGTACTGTCCGAGATGCCCGTCTGGAGCCTGTGAGAGAGAGAGAGAGAGAGAGAGAGAGAGAGAGAGAGAGAGAGAGAGAGAGTGTGTGTGTGTGTGTGTGTGTCTGTCCAAGATGCCCGTCTGGAGCCTGTGAGAGAGAGAGAGAGAGAGAGAGAGAGAGAGAGAGAGAGAGAGAGAAAGAGAGAGAGTGTGTGTGTGTTGTGTGTGTCCGAGATGCCCGTCTGGAGCGTGTGTGTGTGCTGTGTGTGTACTGTCCGAGATGCCCGTCTGGAGAGGGGGGGAGAGAGAGCGAGAGAGCGAGAGAGAGAGAGAGAGAGAGAGAGAGAGTGTCTGTCTGTCCAAGATGCCCGTCTGGAGCCTGTGTGTGTGTGTGTGTGCGCGCGTGCTTTGAGATGAGCTCGGCAGCTCCAGGGCCATCTTCACGCAGAGCTGCCTGCTAATAAAACACCTCCCGTTCTACGCAGCACTGGAGCTACTCTCACAGTGCCAGGAAATGCCCGGAGGCTACTGTGTGAGTTTCGAGAAGGTGCTTTATAAAGAGATGCAGGTGTCTAATGGGGTGTGGGGAAATGGCATCTCTGTCTCTGACACAGGACTCCTAGCTTTGCTGCTGCTGCGGTAGGGGGTGGGGCTGGGGGCCAAGACAAATGAATGAGGCACCGAGCAGAGGCCAGGACAGACTGGGCCCACAGGCTTCTCACTGCTCAGGACAAGCGAGAGGTTACTGAGATGCTGCAGGAAAACTGCAACGGAGCTAGAATTTGTTGGCTTTTAAAATCCCTCTTTTTTTTTTTTTTTTTTTTTTTTTTTTGCTTTTTGGGTCACACCTGGCGATGCACAGGGGTTACTCCTGGCTCTGCACTCCGGAGTTACTCCTGGCGGTGCGCAGGGGACCATATGGGATGCTGGGAATCAAATCTGGGTCGGCCGCGTGCAAGGCAAACGCCCTACCTGCTGTGCTATCTCTCCAGCCCCCAAATCCCTCACTTCTTAAGATGGCAAATGATGCTAAAGGTAGAAAAAAAAAAAGGAAAAAATAATAAAGGTAAAGAAAGTTTCTAGGCAAAGATCAAATCCAGTCAGAAGTGATTCCTGAGCCCAGAGCCAAGAGTTAACCCTGAACATCAGCAGGCATGGCCCCAAAACCAAAAACAATACCCTCCACATTTGCAGCCAGGCAGGTGTAGGTAGGTGTTTGCTTTGCACATGGTCGACCAGGGTTCAATCCCCAGCATCACATATGGTCCCTGGAGCACTGCCGGGAGTAATTCCTGAGTGCATGAGCCAGGAGCAATCCTTGAGTACTGCCTGGTGTGATTTCCCCCTAAACCCCCACCCCCGCCCCCAAATCAATCTTGTCAAGAAACCTGTGGTAAGTGGAGGCTCTTCAGGTGGAGTTCAAATCACCCCCCCCCCCCAGCTCAGGTAGGGGGGCATGTAATTTTTCTTTCTCTACTGGACCCTCTTCCTCTCCTAATATTTTCTACCTAAACTATGTTTAGATCATTGAAATGGGGTGTGTGACGAAAGTCTTTTATTATTAAGTCGTGAGGAAAATTGAATGTATTACTTCTTGAGGAACTGTCACACGAAAAGTGGAGGATTCGCTAGGCTTATCTCAGCCTCTCGCTTCAAGAGGGGACTCTGACTCTTTGTTGATGTTGTTTGGGGCACCCACAGCAGTCCTGCTGGCTCCTGCCAGGCCAATTTGGGGGTGAGGGGCACGCCCCATGTGGTGCTGGGATGGGTCCCAGGGCTCAAGGCTATTAAGGGCACTGCTTCTGCTTGAGAAGAACCCCAGTGTATAGGAAACTCATCCCAAAAGATCTTTTAGGTTGTTTTGTGTGTGTGTGTGTGTGTGTGTGTGTGTGTGTGTGTGTGTGTGTGTGTAATGGAGTGAATTGCAAGAAGATTCGCAGGAAGTCCATAAAGATCTGTAACTGGCAGAAACATGGCTGACTTGGACCGAAAGTGTCAGAGGTAAAACAAACAAAAAAGCGGGAGGGGCTGGAGCAATAGTACAGTGGGTAGGGCCTCTGCCTTGTACATGGCAGACCCGGGTTCGATTCCCAGCATCCCAGATGGTCCCCTGAGCACCACCAGGAGTAATTCCTGAGAGCAAAGCCAGAAGTAACCCCTGTGCATCGCCAGGTGTGACTCAAAAAGCAAACAAAGCAAAGCAAAACAAAACAAAACAAAAAACCAAAAAAGCAGGAAGTGGCTTAGCATCTCCTCTGACCCTCAGCAGTCTTTCACGAACAGGGTGGAAACACCAACAGCCCCTCCTGCTTCAGAGCAGGCCTGAGCAGTGGCCCTCTGGCTCACCTGCCAGCTCAAGGGCTGCAGAGAGAAAAGGACACGCCATCCCCGGGGCTCCCTCTGTCTTTAGACCATGGATCTGTGCTGGTGAGATCTCAGACACAGGGTGATAGTGGGCTCTGAGACTGTTTCCAAAGGGAAAGGGGAGCCCCGTAACCCATGCTTCAGACACTCAAGCATCTCAGTCATGGGGATGCTCTGAGGTCGGGTCCACAACGGCACACACAGTGGCCAGTGCCTGTGAGGGCCAGAATCCCTGGTCAGGAGGTCACCTGGAGAGAGTGAGGCCTTGTGTCAACAGTCACCATGGATATGGAAACCCCGTGAACGGGCACTGTGGAAGGTGCCTCTGGATGACTTCAGCCTTAGCATCTATCTTAGTCCCAACTTCCCCAGGCGGTGTGCGGCAGAACTGCCCAAATGCCGGGCCACAGCAGCTGAGGTGGCAGCAGCAGGGAGGTACTGCACTGGACCGAGTGCAGAGCAGGATCTGGGGCCAGTCTGACCCAAGTCTCCTGACCACTAGACCCACCTCCGCTGTCACATGTGGCTGCCATTGATACTGACCCCAACGGGTGCGTGGAAAAGCCGTGAGGACCCTCTTAAAGTGCCTGAGAAAGATGGAAGGTTTTGTTCTTAAGGTTCGGTTCTAGACTCCTGCCCTCGAACCCCTGGTGCTTCTCCTGTACGAGAGATGATGCCAATATTCCTCACAGATGTTCTTGTACCTCACAGATGTTCTTGTATCTCTGTCCAGGCTTCTCCTTGGTACACACACACACACAATATCTGGCAAAGGCCTGTCAACAGTTCCTCCAACTTTTCTTCTTTTTCGGCAGTGCCAGGGACTGAACCCTGGGCTTCACTTGCAAGGCATGGGCTCTCCCTTGGTGCTACAGCACTTTTTTTTTCTTTTTGGGTCACACCCAGCGATGTACAGGGGCTACTCCTGGCTCATGCACTCAGGAATTACTTCTGGCCATGCTTGGGGGACCGTATTGGATGCTGGGAATCGAACCCGGGTCAGCTGTGTGCAAGGCAAACACCCTACCTGCTGTGCTATTGCTCCGGTCCCCACAGCACTGGTCTTGAGATCAAGTTTTCCTCATTTTGATGTTCTCCTTGGCAGAAGTCTATTGTCCCACCTGCCCTGGGGCACCTGCTAGAGCCAGGATCTCCCAGACTGCCCGTGTCAGCACGCGAAGAGACTCACAGCCATAGACAGTTCCTTCAAGTTTGTGCTCTATGCTCCCAGAGGCAGAAACCTCATCTTCTTCATCTCTGCACCTCAACAGAGAGGCTGCCCGACTGATCAGGTCATTGGGTCCCTCCCTCCTCTTTCCCGGCACTTCCCAGGTCTTACCTGGCAGAGAGCGAATGAACTCGTAGACGTCCTCTACGTTCCATTTGGTGGGCTCGCTTGGGAGGAAGTGGTGGCCCATGCCCACCAGGTCCCGCATGTGCATGTCAGGGAGCTCCAGGTCCCGCTGGCCTTGTCGCCGGCGGGAGGTGGACGAGCTGGCCGAGATGGGGGACAAGGGCTCCTCATAGCTCGAGTTATCTGAGCAGCGGCTGGAGTCCTCCTGGCTGTGTGTTAGCTGCAGCGCAGCCGTGACTGAGAGGGGGACGGCGCTTGTGGGCTGCGGGGAGAGGAGAGGCTTCCTCAGGATTGGAAAAGAAAACAAGGGGGCTGAGTGACGGGCCAAGGCAAGCCTGTCGGGGCTCCCCGCCGACCTGGCCCACCACCCCTCTACGTCACTGGATCCCTGCATCAGGATGCAGTTTCCAAGCTGCCTCTCTTTCCCTAGGAGCAGGCACAGCAGTCATGTATCATATGTGTCATTTCTTGTCACTGAAATTTAACCAGGTCTCTGGGTCACAGGGGTGGCCTATGAATCACTTGAAATGGCACGTGTATATTTTGTAACACATGCCATTTCTTCCATCAACTTTTTTTTTTTTTTCGGAGGGGGGTGTAGGAGTTGGGTGTCTGAGTCACATCTAAAAGTGCTCAGGGACTACTCCTGGCTCTGTGCTCAGAGGTCACGCTGGTGGTGCTCTGGGGACATGTGTCAGGCTCTGGACTGAACTGGGACTGCTGCAGGAAAAGCCAGCACCTGCTCTCCACAATCTCTCCCTCCAGCCCTCTTTTTAAAGAAGTTGATAACCAAAACACTCAGCAACAACAAAATACACTTAAGATTCTAAAACTTCAGGTGGGCTGTGGGTTCCCTCAGGGCAGAGCTTTTGCTTACTGGAAGGCTCTACCCCCTAGGGTCACTGGGTCAGGGAAGGGGGCGTAGCAGCTTCTGGGCAATGGGGCAGGTGCTTTGTTCTCTTGATGAAGGCCGATTTCCGATTTTCAGGGTCCAGGCAGCAAACCCAGGAAGTTTGGGCAAGTCTGCTTTAGAGCGAGCCGGCGCCTGTGTCTCCAGCAGAGGAGACTGTGGCAGACTCAGTGGGCTCCTGGCTCAAGGAGGTAGCAAGGAGTGAGGGCAGGGGGAGGTGTTATCCCCAGCCTTTCAGGAGAGAGACAGGAGGGAACCAGGTCAATCCGTCTCTTCCTGGGGCCAGGCAAAGAAGGCCGCTCCAGGGCCCAGAAGTCTAGGGCACCAGCAGACTGGAAGGGTGGGGTCATGTCAGGAACATCCTGAGTGCTGCTGGGTCTTCAGGGGGCAGAGACTGGCTGCCTGAGAGCACCACAGGGTCAAAGAGTCCGGGGGGGGGGGGGGGGTGCCCTGGGTGCCTGGAGAAAGGAGGCTGGAGTTTTACCACTGACTGAGCTTTGGCCCGCAGCCCACTCACCTGCTTCTTGGTGTCCTTGGTAAGTGTTGGCAGACTAGCTTTGCTGGCACGGCGGCGGTTATGGGTCGTGGTTGCCGCCTTCTGCAGCTTACTTCGGTCAGAGTGGAAAAGACCCACTCGCTTGGTGCACCCCACATTGTACCTGCCAGAGCCAGAAAACAAGGGGAGTCAGAGCAGCCAGAGGTGTGAGGCCCCTGGCAAAGCCCACCTGTCCTTCCCAGTCCTGTGACCGTCACCAGCATGCGCTGTGTGGCCCTGGCGGCTCATGCTGTTTCTGAGCCTCCCTTTCTGACTCTGGTCCTGCAGCCACGTGAGCATGTGGAAGGGGCGGGTATAGTGGTGGCTGCCACTCCGTGCTTATGGCCAGAACTCACAGCTGATCCACAGCTGTGCCAAGACCCCCTCGTCCTGCTGGACGGAGCATGGCACAGGTCCACAGAGAGGGTCCTACTAATCTCTGGGGAGGCTGACGAGGGCCTCACTCCAGCTGGCACATGGACACCTCTGCCTGGGGGCCCTAGACGTTTCCTCTGTGATCAGAGGTCAGGACTTCAAGGTCAGCTGCCCTTCTATCTTGGTACAAAGACCACCTAGGCCTTCTGTACCAGGAGCTGAATCCCCGGGTCTATGACATCAGGCACGATCGCTTCTCCTTTGTGCTCTGTCTCCTGATGTGTCCCATGGCCAGCCCTGCCTCACAGGAGGATTCTGGACATCAGGTGACAAGCCTGTCAGATGGTAGCACACACAGCAGCTTACAACAAACCATGCCAGGCCCTCCTATTCTCACTGGCCTTTTAAGCTGGTGGGTTCAGAGGGAAGGCCATTAGCGCAGTGACTCTGGCCAGAGCTGGCAGGGAGTTCCCCCACCCCAAGGCACAAGAGGTGGGCAGGGGGCTCCAGGGCCAAGGGTCTGCTACTGCGTGTGCCCGCGGCCACATGGTGCAGGTGCTGACGTGCACGCCAGCCAGCGACAGGAAGCTGGGGAAGCCATGGGAGGGCAGCTGGGTGGACTGTGCCCAGAGCAGGGCAGAGGCACAGTTCTGAAGGAAGGGAGGGGGAGCCCGGGCAGCGCTGAAACCACTCACCTCTTTGCACAAGCCATGGAACAGAAGCGCTTGGAACGCTTGAATTTGTAGGCAAAGTCCACCCGGCCACAGAGCTCACACTTGAGTTTGAGGGGGGTACCCTCCTCTTTGGATTCTGAAAAGCAGCGGAAATGTAAGGGGGAGAATGAGCCTTTGTCACAGCACTGCCAGCCCCACCACCCCCCAGGGCACCCCTTCCTCTGTGCCCACGGCCGTGACTCCCAGCAACAGTCCAGCTTGGAAACTGCCCAACTGTGGGGCCGGAGCGAGCGTACAGCCAAACCTGGTGCAATCCGTGGCACCACGTATGGTCCTGAGCACTGTAGTGGTCACTCCGGAGAGGTAAGGAATGGCCCGAGCATCGCTGGGCATGCCCCCGCCCACCACACAGGTAGAATGGGAAATGCCCAACCGCCTGGCCTCTGATTTCCAAAGAGTTGAGTTCCCATGCCTGCCCCGATATATCCGAGGGTGGACCGTGTCCCCTGACAGATTTCCCTTGCAGTAACGTGGAGCTGAGGCAGAGCCCAGGCAGGCGAGTGTCAGCACCCATCTTGACGCTCACTCTGGGGGAGAGCAGGACGCCAGCATCCGGCCCACGGGATGCGCCTGCGGGGCAGAACTCAGGGCTCTCCAGCCCAGGTGGCATCCTGCCCTTGAGCGTGGCACCCGAGGCAGTGAAGGCTGAGCCTCCACAGTGCCCGTCCAGCCTGCGGGGAGGAACAGCTTCTGGAATCGGGCCTGGCTGGAGAGGCGGGGGACAAAAGCAGTCCCTGGAGGGGTGGGCCTTCGCTTGTTCTCTGGGGTGGGGTCTGATAAGGGAGGTGGGGAGGTGCTGGCTAGGCTGCAGAGCTCAGATTCCCGCCGGACCCCGGGTTCGAGGAGCTCACCTTGCAGATAGGGCTCCTCCATCTCGGAGTCAGTGGTGGTGGTGTGGTCCTGCTGGGGAAGTTTCTCAGGCAAGAACCCCTGTGCATACTTCTTCTTGAGATTCCCCACCAGCAGGGACGAACGTCCCACCTGGAGGACAGAGGGACATGGGGGCGATGAGGCGCGGGCAGGGGATGGGTCTCTGCTCTTCAGTCGCATCATCATCACATGTACAAAACACCCCAGCACCAAAGCCAGCCCCGAGTTCACCATCCCTGGTGCCCTGCTCCAGGCCCTGTGCTGCTCAGACCCGGAGGCCAGATGCCCAGGGGCACCCTAGCACACCGCTCCCTCCACAGGGAGGACTTCAGTTTGGCATCAGTGGACAGCTTGGCGCTCAGGACACTCTTGTCAGAGTCTGAGCCCAGAGCTCATCGGCACACAGGAAGGGCGGGGCTGGCATGTGCCCGCGTGTCCCACCCTCCCAGCCGGCCTGTCTTGCCGCTGCTCCTCACCCTCCCCTGACCTCGAGGCTGCCGGAGAGGGGAGCAGGAGAAAGCGGGCTTCCGGCAGAGAGCAAATGCCCTCTGGCTGCCGGTGCCAGGTTAGGTCTCTCTGCTGGCCCTGCTCGGGCAGGCTGGAGGCTACCATCAGCACCCCTCCCAGCAGGGGCTGACAGCCCAGAGCTGCTCAGAGTTAAGATGCTCCAGGTGAATGTCCAGACCATCAGCCTTCAATGACCTCTGGAAGAGGACAAGGATCTGTTTGCCTTCGGCATTTTTTTTTTTTTGGTTGTTTTTTTTTTGGAGGCCACACCCAGCAATGCTCAGGGGTTACTCCTGGCACTGCACTTAGTAATCACTCCTGGCAGTGCTCCGGGGGTGCCAGGGATCAAACCAGAGTTGGCTGTGTGTGTAAGGCAAGAAAGAGCCTTACCCATTCTACTCTCACTCTGGCCCCTGCCTTTGGCATTTTTTGAAGAGCAGTTTAGTTCACCCATCCCCGTGGATGTCTCAGGTCTTCTGCTGATTAGTCAAACCACTCACGGGTGCCAAGAATGAGCAAAAGGCAGATGGCATCCCACGAACAGGCGGCCTGGCTCGACTCCCCTCTCCCACGGGCCAGGCCCACCTGTCCCCCGGCCCAAGAATCGGCTTGGGCATTGTCCTGATAAACCAATTTCTTGGTTCCATATTCCCTTTGGATTGATGCTTTCTCTGGAGACCCTTGGCGGGTCCTTTCTGAAGCGCCCCTGGCTCCCACTCTTCCTCTTCTGAGGCTCTGTCTGTCCCAGAAACGCAGCTGCAGGCTGCCACCCCATTCTCCTTATTTCCCACCTCCTGACAGGTCTGTTCTACAGATTCCTTCTGTTTCAACTGGCCAAAGTTCTGCCATTCAGAGGGTGTGGCCTTTGAACCGGATTGCGGTCTCATTTCCCAGAGTGCATCATGTTGCCCTGGACACCCCACTGGGAACCCCCTTCTGACCAAAGAATCACACACGTGCAGAGGGGGAAAGCATTGGGTCTGTGCGACCTTCTAGTGCATGTGGGGAGGGGCAGCCATCACCCCGATCACTGACCCCGCCACAATCCTAGAAAGCAGCAAGCCCTGACATCCTGGAGGGGAAAATCAACAAGAGCAAATGGATCACATTCCTGGACAGTTACATGGAAATGTAAAAATAGTCTAATACACATCTGAAATATATTTAAAAAAAAAAAAAGAGGGGAAAAGAAGTAGTCCGTACCGGGAAAGGCTCCGCCCCCTCCTGGATCACAAACCCTTCGATAACATGCGTCAGGATTTGGGGTTTCACAATGGCCTGTGGTGGTTTATTCTCACCATTCTGGGGGGCAGTGCCGGTGATGCTGGAGGCAGAGTTTCCGTTCCCTGAGGTCATGCCGGGGCTGCTGAGGTCGGTCAGTGCATGAACAATGCCCTGCCCTGTCTCTGTACAAAGGAAGCAGGAAAACACAAGCAGAGTGGTCAGAACCGCGTGCAGGCCGGCAGGGACTCCACATGTGCCCTCTGCTCGGTGGAGCCACACAGGTGTGAAGCAGGCAGTCCGTCTCGGTCCTGTCTCAGGGGACACCCACGCCGCGAGACCACCCGGCGCGGCAGCAGGGTGGGCCAGCAGCCAGCTGCGTTTCTTCGCCCCCCAAACTGGGCTAAGGACAGTGTGGTGGAAGGTTCTTTCTTCTTCCGTTGGAGACTGAAGCCCGTGTGTCAGTGCAGCCAACCCTGTGCTGACCGGGAACTCTATCCCAGCCCTGATAAGAAAGTTTATCCAGGTTAAACAGAGGAGGAATTAAGACCTTGATCCAGGGTGAGCTGCACCAAGAAACACTTCAAGGGAGGAAAATAGAATTGAGGTGAGATTTACAACAAAGAGGAAAGACGGAACCAAGAGGGCTTGGGTGTGGTGGGGCCTGGGTTAGAAAGCTAAACGGACCTTTCGAGGTTGCCTGGAGAGGGATTAGATTTTAGCATCCTGTGAAATGTTTAGAGTATTGAGCTACAATCCAGGAATTAAGGTAAGGAAACCTGGGGGCAAGCCCCAAAGTCAACACCATCCCGAAGAACCAACGAGCAGAGGTCACTGCTAAAGACACACAGGTGCCCTGTCCACTGAGGAAGCCAGCGGGCGGCACTGAGCGGCTCTAAGTCAGGAGGTTGCTGCCAAGTATCAGCTACATGTCCACTCTGATGCCCAGTCAGGTGCCCTCCCCACCCCCTCTCTCCATGGGCACCCTCCCCAACCCCTCCTTCTCTGGACACCCTCAATATCCCCTCCCTCCATCCACTGACATGCCCCCTTGCCCTGTGGACACCTTATACCCCCTTTCACCCCATGGACCCTGTCCTAAGTTCTCCATTCTGAGGACCCAATGGAGTGCTCCTCCCAAACACACTCTGGCTATCTGACTATAATTTGTAGCTCATTAGAGTAAATGGGGGAATATTTTGCAAGACTCATAATTAGGAGGAAGCAGCCATGGTACAAAAATCAAAATCTTTGTTTGCTTTGGGGTGTGTGGCAACACCCAGTGGCGCTTGGGGGGAGGGGGGTCACTACAGGGCGCTCAGGGTACCATGTGGTGCCAGGGACCAAACCCAGAGTTCCCTTATGTCACACATGTGCTCCAGCCTGTTGAGCCATCCCCTTGGCATTTAATTTACACCTATTAAATTTTTACAGCAAATAAACTTCATTTGATAAATTTTATCTCAGTCCAAAAAAGTGATTTTTTTTTTCTAATTTGCTGGTATACTTTCATTTCAAACAACATTTTAAAAATTATTTTTGTGTTAGGGCCACACCATTCAGGGGTCACCACTAGGTCTGTACTCTGAAATCACTCCTGGCCAAACTTGGGGGACCATACGGAATACCAGGGGTCGAATCCCAGTTAGTCACGTACAAGGCAAGTGCCCAGATACTATCTGGTCCCAAGCAAACACAAATTATTTTAAAAATAATCATGAATAACATCTCCTGGCTCATTTGTGCTCAGCCCTGAAGTTTACTATGGAGGTCTGGGTACTGAAGGGGGCAGACACCAGAGCCTCCGGGACAGAGAGAAGCTCACAGGCTGAGCGCATGCTGTGTGTGCTGGAGGCCAGGTTCAATCCCAGGCACCCCATGGTCCCTTAAGCAGCATGGGGAATGACCCCTGAGCACAGAGGCCAGAATAGCCTAAGGCTGGAGCGATAGCACAGCGGTAGGGTGTTCGCCTTGCACACAGCCAATATGGCCGACCCGAGTTCGATTCCTCCACCCCTCTCGGAGAGCCTGGCAAGCTACCGAGAGTATCTCGCCCGCATGGCAGAGCCTGGCAAGCTCCCCGTGACGTATTCGATATGCCAAACACAGTAACAACAAATCTCACGATGGAGATGTTACTGGGCCTGCTCGAGCAAATCGATGAACAATGGTAGGATTGTGAGGACCACTCAAAATTAGTCATTATAAATTACTATTCTGTGGTGAGATTTGTGATCTTTAAATGGCATGAGAGCATTTTCATAGAAAATGAATTTTTAGGGAGAAATTTTATTAAGAGAAAGAAAATGCACTCAGAAGAACATGGGCTTCTGGGGACTGGAGAGATAGCACAGCGGGTAGGGTGTTTGCCTTGCATGTGGCCGACCCAGGTTTTATTCCCAGCATCCCATATGGTCTCCTGAGCACCGCCAGGAGTAATTCCTGAGTGCAGAGCCAGGTGCGACCTAAAAAGCAAAAATAAATAAATAAAAAGAACATGGGCTTCTACAGAGAAAAGGGGAAAAGCCTTGGGAATGGAAAGATTCCACACTTCACAGTGGGTGACTCCAGAAGAAACACCTAATGTTTTTCTCTTTTTTTTTTTTGTTGGGGGATGGGGGCACACCTGGCAGGGCTCAGAGCTTACTCCTGGCTTTACACTCAGGGTTCACTCTGGGTAGTGCTGGAGGGATCTTCTGGGATGCTGGGGATTGGTCCCAGGTCATCTGCGTGCAAGGCAAACACCCCCCTTGCTATGTTCTGGCCTAAATGTTCTCTTTTGTTGTTATTTGTTATAGAGCCACATCCAGTGACGCTCAGGGCTTACTCCTGGCTCTGTGCTCAGGAATCACTTCTGTTGGGCTCAGGCTACTGACCATATGTGCTGAGGACTGAACCCAGGTCAGACGAGTACAAGGCAAGTGCCCTACTATCACTCCAGGCGCTCATTAAAAAGTTTGTGAAAAGCTTTTAACCAATGTACCAATCATTTTTAATGTGTCACACACAGCACTGGACTGTGTTTCAAGCTAGCTTGTGGTAATGATGTTCCCTTCTTTTAAGAGCTTCTGAGTTAAAGGTGGCACCAGCTCACAGTTGGCGGTGAGAGAGAATAACCCTGGGAAGTAGGCAGGGAGCAGCACAGAATGAGGTGATGAGTCCCAAGCCTCAGGGAGGCAGGCAGGGGTGGGAACAAGAGCACAGTGGGTGAGGTGCTTTCCATGCAGGGGGTCGAACCAGGTTGATCCCGGCCCCCATATGACCCCGAGTCCCACCAGGAGTGATGCCTTAGAATAGTGAGATCACTAACTCCTGTGCACTGTGGGCATAGCCTCCCCCAAAACCCAACAAATCCCCAAACCAAAAATACCCAGGGAGGCAGCCATGAGAGGTGCGCTTGAAAGGGAGCCAACGACCAGTAATGAACAAACAACATTCACCAGCTCAAGAGACTAAGCCAAAACTGAATCTGGGAAGCAAAGACATTTGGGATTTTTTTTTTAAACAAGGGGGTGGGAGGGGGAGGGGGACAACAACAATATTAAGAGACACTTTTTTTTTCTTCCCAACCAACAAAACAAGAAACAGCACCCTTTAACTGTGACATCAGAGACTGTTCTTCTTCACTGTGACTCAGGGGGCAGGTCGCAGAGACAGACATCCAAGGGGGGTGGAGGGACTTTGTGAACATACGAAGGCTTACAGTATTTTACTTTGCAGTCAACTTATAGGCTAACACGTCACCATCTGCTAGAGTGACAAAGGACTTTGGACTATTTCTGGAATGACCAAACACAATCTCACCCCCTGCCAAGCTCAGCACACTGAGATTAATTTAATCTTCTTCCTGTGCTCCCACCGTTTTGCAGTTTTGTGGCCTACTAGGGGAAAGCAGTTTAATAGCAAAACCTGCAAAATCCTGCCGTGTCAGGCCGGAGGTCAGAGAACGGACCAAGTCGTCTCTATCTTTGTAATTCTTCCTTATTCCACTCTTCCCAACCATCTTGAGGCTCTAAATGCTGTTGGAATCCCCACAGGTCAAGGACCGCAAGAGGGTATGGGCCAGGTGGGCCAGGGCACCCGCAGTAGGTGTGGGGGTGCTGTGGGCTACTGGGTTGCATCTAGTCTTGACAATGGCTGTCACAAATGGCCAAGCACTCAGATCTGTATGAAAGCAGCACATGCATGTTCGGGGGAGGTGGGGGGGGTGGGGAATCATGACATAATATTTATCTCAGTGTCTAGGCTGCTTCTCAGTTCCGTGTCATTCGTGGGCTCCAGCAGAAACAGCCCCTCGAGGGTGTTGGGGGGACCCCTCCCCAAATAGGGTCCCTACCACAGGAAGAACACCCAGAGGCTCTGTCTGTGGAGCCCAGCTCTGGGGCTGGCCACCTCTGCTAGGAACAGGGCAGGGCTCTTCAGACAGGGTGCCATCTCCGTCCCCTCTAAGTCTAACCCCGACTCCTCCACAGGACAGACACCTCCCGCCAGCTCAGTCTCAGTGATGCCCCCAGGCTCTGTGTTCTCGGGCTCTCTGGAGCACCAAGTCAAGCACCCAGGCTGCAGCTCGGAGCAACAAGTCACTTTCTGAGGGGAGAATGGTCTCAGAGCAACAAGGCAGGTGCCAGCTGACACGCAGCAGGGGCATTCCCGGACACGGGGTTGTAGAGAAGAGTAACTGGTCACTTAGTCACAGCAGGTATTTCTCCAGCAGAAGGGAGAAGGAGCTCTGAGTCACCCTGAAGGCCAGAACAGATTCACTGGGGCTCTGGAAACCTTTAATGCCGGATTCAGGCACTGGGGAAAGCACAGGAGGACCCCTAGGGGCAGAAGCAGGGGGAGGCCTACGAAAACAGCTGGGCCTCAGGACCGCGCAACACCATGGGAAGGGCTTCTGGCCTTGTACGCGGCTGACCCAGGTTTGAGTCCTGGCACCCCACACGGTTCCGGAGACTGCCAGGAGTGACCCCTGAGCGCAGAGCCAGCCGTCCGGAGCACCTCTGGATGCGGCCCCAAGGCAGAAGAGCTGCAGGGCGAGTCTGCACACTGGGATATACCTCGTCACCAAGTTTTAACTAATTATTTCAGGGTCCAGCCACTCATTCTCGTCACCCCTGAAACGGGGAGTCTGGAAGCCCCAACTTCAGAGCAAACGGAGGGCGAGCAGAGCTGCTCCGTCTGTCCC